CTTGCAGAACTCCTAAAAATATATCTACCAGTCTAATCCCCCGTCAACCGCCGCGCCCACCCCATTCTTAACCTGCGCACAGCTTCTAAATCCCTCCGCTATGGTCCCTTCCTCCTGTGACACCAACACCTCGTGAAAGTGACGCGTATGCAACACAATGGTGTTTCATACAGTAGAAGGGACACAATCATGATATGACGGTAGATTTTTCGCTTCCCTTCCTCATCCTCCCTTCCTCTCTCCACTGCCCTCCAGCTGCCACTGCAGCACCATGTGGAATGAACGGAAGTGTGCTAAGCAGGTGTTTATATAGCCCTAAGAGTGTTATCACAACTATCCTGCTACAAAACATTGATATCTCAAATCCTGTAAGCTACCCGATTTGTTAGCGGTTTGTTTATCCCATGAGCTTCCTTCTCACTCACTTCATTTTGCGGACGGACACACATACATACACACACACACACACATACAGATACACAAACCGACACACAAAGTTAGCGCTTTATAAAATAGAAGGATAGAAAAGGGATTGTCACTAGAAGTGACGTGCACTTGATAGAAAATTGCGTGGATAAGCTGTTGCCAGCATGCTTTGCTGATATCCAGCAATGTATGTTGGAAGCAGCTTATCCACATAGCTTCTATCAAGTGCACGTCACTTCCGGTGACACGCCTACCCCAACTCATATCGATGTGTCCCGGCAAAACAGCGCATCTCGTGCAACTGCCCCATACCTTGGGTCAGCGACTTGTTCTAAAAGTTCAGCTCCGCACGCTAGCACGCGCATAAAACGGAAAGCTTGGGTGAGAATGTGCAGCGGAGGAGCTTCGAGTTCCACCGCTAAACAATGCGTCGCTTCATAAAATGGGCTTAATGACCGTTCCATATTGCTTTATCTTTGCAGCTCTCCGTTTGATACACTTGATAGAGTGTAGAGCTAAAATGGTCTATTCTAAGGCCGTATGGTATCCTCCCCGAAGGGGTTAGGGTACGAAAATTCCTTCAAATTTTCTGTCTTCTCAACTCTGATACCCCCATGGCAAACAAGGCCTACATCAAATAGTGTAATTGTTAACCCAGTAAGCATGCATTGAAATGAAGCAAAAACTACATCGCTCAAACACAGCAAATAATTTGAAGCAAAGTGCGTCACCTAACCTCTGGGAATAGCATACGGCTCTTGTGAGGGGATGAGCATGCGCCCTTAAGAGCGCTCCCACAAGTTCAAAACGCCATGTCTTCAGCAACATTCTTCAGGATTTTGAAGAGTGTAACGTGGAATGTAGTCTGGCCTGATATGGCAACCGCAAATAAAAACGACCTCGACTCACAACGTTATCTTAAGAATTTACGCTGAGCCGACCTCGTCAGCCGTTATCTTTTATCCAAGATGTTTTCGAACTCCTAGCCCAACAAAATAATTGTCCCCCCGTTCCATCCCGTTACATCACGCTCTGACCAACGCCCAAACTAACCTCTGGACCTCTAAATGTAGTATCCGAGACACTACTGTGTTCTAACGCTCTCTTACAACTCCCTATCAGTTGCTGTCAGTTCCCGGCCCTCACCACAAATGTAAACTGTCCTATCCATACAAATATTGACAGACACCTGCTGTTCAACCGAACACGCACTAGACATTTCCTGACAACCAGACCGTGCGCAATACACGCAATACACACGGACATACTTAGCGAATCATATAGTAGGATAGGATAGACTAATCGGCGCTGATGTCCTCGGGCGGGGGCAGGAAGCACAGCCTTAGGTGCTGTGGGTGGCTCACTCATTTGAATGACCCTCTCTCCTGTCCCCCCCTCCCCCAATGACACCGACGGCATTAGCGTCGACTGATATTGCAGTAAATTGTAATGGAGCGTTCGAGTTGGCGATCGCACGTGCGATTAGGCGATTAGGCGATTAGGCGATTAGTCTATAATGAAAAATATACGTATAGATTAGGCGATTAGGCGAGTAGGCGAGTAGGCGATCAGGCGAGTAGGCGATTAGGCGGGGAAGACTACATACGTATTGATTGGTTTGCTCCGCCCATAGAGCGTTGTAGGCGAGTAGGCGATTAGGCGATCGCTCAATGGGCGGAGCAATCAATACGTATCCTTCTCTTATCGCCTACTCGCCTACTCGCCTACTCGCCTAATCGCACGTACGATCGCCAACTATGAACGCTCCATAGGAGTGATAGTCCGATTAGTTTTGCTTATTCAACTGCGACGCCAAATAGGTTATGACACCACCCCCTTCCCTCCCCCCCCCCCACCCGGAATTCTTACAAGCGGAACGCATAGAGATTAGGGTTGCGGTGTCAAGACCGTAGTTCAAGACCACGTCAAAAATCTTTGTAATTTGAAACGGGCCCACGCCTCAGTGAGAAGCGAGATTCCAAAGTGAGTGAGCAGTTTTTATTTTCCCGAGATTCTCTGCCCTCCTCCTGGGCTTATTATTAATTCCCTTGCACATTCCCTTGTATCTAGTGATAGCGCCAAAATCTCTGCTCCCCCAATCAGACAACGTACCACAAGTAGAGAGAAGCAGCAAAAAAGCGAATCCAACCATCATTCGCTGGGACGAAAATGAAAGTGAATACTCTTCTAGGCTTTAATCCGATGTTATCATCTCTATGAGAGCAGCCAAGTCGAACATTCTCACCAGGCCGTAAAAGCATAACCCACTCAAAGGTCGACAAAGCTTTGATAGAGTCTACGCTACCTTTCCGGAGCAACACTTAGAAAGCTAATTATCCGATTCTGAGCTGGTCTGTCGAAGCGAATCAGACAAGACTGAGTCGTATTTATTTGACCCTCTTCGTAAAGCTCAAAGGGGTCGTATTTGTGGAAGGTGAGGGGTCGTAGTCGCAGGAAAGAGGATTATTTTTGGCGTGCTTCCAAGTGAGGGGCGAAAAGCTTAGGAAGGAAGCGTAAAATAAACAAAAGCGGAACATAGTACATTTCTTCAGGTAAATTTCCACCCCCCCCACCATGACCTTCGCTCTCCCCCTCCCCCGCCTCACCTATACCAGCTAGACCATGCTTCCAAACCGAAGAAAACATGGGGCTAATGTAAACAAAGAGAAGTGTCAGAGACAGAACCCAGACAGAAGCCGTGTGAACGCTTCCTTCGGTCTGTAGTATAGACCCCTAGAGGACAATCACAGATGTGGCATTCCCGTGCACGGAAACCAACCGACAAGAGCGCTAGGGCCTTGCAAAGTAAGCTGCTGCAGCTGCAGTTTTTTTCTTATCAGGCTGTTGTCTGGCGCCCTCTCATCTGTTGCGCTCTCTCGCCTCCTACTCTCTTGTCTCTCATTGCCGTAGCACAGCCGATTACTAGGTGAAGAAGCGCTTAACTAACCGTAACCTTTTCTACCAATTCTGTTCCTTTACTCTTTACTGTCAGGCCCATTTCGCACCAACACATTCGTATTCCTAGGCGATAACCACACCTATTTGATCCTGGGGCATGTCTATGAGAGGAAAAACATGTTCGGTTTGGCTCAAACAAACAACTGTGGTATCCCTTGGTCGAAATTTACAGAAATAATAACTGCCGAATGGAACGGCAATAATCGAAATATCGGACGACCTCTGTTCTTCAGCAGGATGCATAATCAAAAGCCAATGATTCCTTAGCGAAAAAAATAGACGGTTTCATTAACCCTTTCGGACCTGAATTTTTCCGTGGAAAATTTTTTTCTAGCTATTGTTTATTACTTGTGAGCATATAGGTATCATTATGGCGAAATTTGGAAGCTATTCGATCACAAACAAAGAAACTAGAAGCTTTGAAAATTGGCCCACCTTCTTAGTTTTTAGCTTATGTCGAAACAATTCCAAATTTCATAGTTATGTCGAAAAAGTTTATATTCTTGCACAACATTATATCCAACGTTTTTGATAAAAAAAGGAAAGAGAGAGCGTTAGTTTTAAAGAGAGCGACACCGATGGGAGTCGCATCAGCACGGAAAACAATGCGCAGAAAAGGGGTTACACTTTTCGGGTTTAAGGCCGTTTCTCAGGTTTCTATATCATCCTGGCACCGCCGATCACCTCTACCTTTGTGCTCGTGGGCCGCTTTCTGATCGTAAACTCCGTCTTTGAGTGAGCAAACACTACCCAGTAGCTTTCTTCAACACAACGCACCAAGCAACAATTGAAGGTTCTCCGTCAGCAGCAGTTCAGCTGCAAGAACCAGTACCAACAGGATATAACCTCCCCTTCAAAAAGCGAGAAAGTGTCGGGTGCAGACCAAACACCACAACTGACGACGGCCTCCAAGTAAATCTGGTTAGAAGTGTTCATAGTGATAGCTGATTTCTGGTAAATGATAGTTGTAATTAGTGACAACGATAGAATACAACTGCAACAGGCTAATCATTTCATTGGCAGAAAACATTAACATTTTGTGAAGGCCGTCGTCACTTGTGGTGCATGGTCTGCACCCGACACTTTCTTCTTTTCTTTTTGAAAGGGACGGTGGCTTGTTTAGATTTTCGTTTTTTTTATTTTTTTATCATTCAAACCTCGTTTTTCGTTTTCTCTCAACTTTTTGCGGGTACGTTCTCGTTCTTGGGGCTAATACATGATTTCTGTGAAAGGATACCTTTCGGCAGTTTGTCAGATCTGTTGTTCACTATCTTGACACCTTTTAAAGATTTATTCCAACAAAACTGTTCCGAAAGCTTCAAATAGGACTAGACAGATAATTATGAAAGAAACCCGAGCACTTATGTAAACTTTCTGGAGATGATTTCCGACGAACCAGTGCATTTGAAAGAACTATTAGAGCACACTCTGCTGTTCAAACATACAACAACCATCAGTAGTTCGAATTAAATAATCCTCAGTAGTATCGGTAGCATCCTAGCGAACAACTAAAGCCATTGGAAAAATGCCAAGATTGGACCGGTGAAACAGAACAGAAGGCGAAAACGCGAGACCCTAGAGTGATATATCACTAAACATCTATAACCTATGAAGTATCAGGATATCAAGCGTCCTTGAGGCGTGAAATGGATCAGTGACGTCACCAGGAAAGCTGAAATTCCTCAATTATGATTTTCAAGACTCGGATAACATGAATAATTGCTCAATTCGTTGCTGGTATAAGGTTAGGGTGGCTAACCTAACTAATGCGGTGAGAAATCGGAAACAGGGATAAGCTGGGGTTTGAGTTATTATAGGAGCAGTGGTTACGAAGGCTAAAGGGCCGGCGTTTTCAATGACGTCATTTAATACCATTGGTAGACTAGGTTCCTCAGCGGCTGGGGGTGTAGTTGGGACCGCCTTCAGCGGGTTGGGGATGTAGTTGGGACCGCCTTCAACACCTTTTTCCCAGTTACGTTCGTTACCGAACCGCCCCTAGCTATTGATCACCGCCTTTTAACAATTACAAGCTTCGATAGTAGTTATACAAATTAATATTTTTTTACATTCTTTTTTAAGTATACTGAACACTGTTCACCTTCGCAGGTAAATATCTATTGGTTTGTTCCATAAAAATGGCATGGTGGAGAGGGATTGAACAGATTTCTTAGCTCACCCCCCCCCCTTCATAGGCATCGTTAGGCGCAAATCCAAGAACAATTCCCAAACAAGAACAAGTTTAGTGGTACCACATTCGCCTGGGAGATTGCAAACACCGGCTTGTGCATCGCTTAACCAGTTAATCATATTATAAATGTTAGCAAAATCTTCAAGCGCTATTCTGAACGGTAGTAGAAAGCATGGTATATTACAAAAATTGGCATGTTTCTACTTCCTTTCCGCAAATAAATATATTCGTTGCTGAGGGCAGGTGCGAAATGGAAACTAAGCTACTTTTTGAAGCCAGCTACCGGAAATTGAATTCAAAAAATTACATGCAATAATATTAAAGTCCAAAAAACAACTTTAAGTGTAACAAACTGAATACATTACTTATATTCAAGGTCAACGCATCCGTAAATAGCAGATTCCTAAGAAAGCGGAAAGAGCGACGGTGGGGGGGGGAGTATTTAGTGGAATGGGACGGAATTCTGGAAGTCGAAGGACAAGAAATTTTTTTGAAAGGCATGAGAGGCCTGGTTCTGATGTGTGGAACTTTCGGGAAGGAAGGAAGGGACTTGAGGAAGGGTAGAGGTTGCAGCTACGGCATGCCGTATAGGGGGATTGCACGAGGCGTTGTATTCACCAATGATTTTGTTCTAATTTTTTTCTAAAATTTGCTCAACGCCATGGTTGACCATGCCTCCAGATGAAAATGCTATGCGATTTGTGTTGAAAGATTACTTAAAGGAGCGAATACGATGAGGAGGAAGCGCATCGGGGAAGCATATTCACAACACTAAGCACTTAATTGGCTGGGCCCAAGGGAGCGAAGTTGTGGCGCTTCACGGACGAAAGTGTGCGCTGGTTGCTGAGCAGGACTTCCGAAAGCCACTCCGCCCCAAAAGCGATCCGCCCACTAATTTGGCTGGTGATTTCGACGAGCTGCGTTGCTAGCAGCGGCACAGCTAGAGAAACCGAATCGTGGGTTGGCATGCCGCCATCAAACGCATTGCCGTGAACTCGTTCATACGTCCGATTTCTGAGCTGTTACCTGTTCATGAGTGAAAAATAACGGCCAAGGAAAGGGGTCCCGTTTTGCGTTTTCCTGACGGATTTCTCAGATTTTCTCGTAACTGGGTGGCTGCCTTCAACAACATGATGCCCATTAGAGAAACAATCGTCATCCTTCTATCTTTGCCAGCATAGAGAAAACCTATGAGGGTTTTTCTCTATGATAGCGTCATTTTAGCGTCAGGTTATTGGCCATTAGGAATTAATGGAAAGCAGCCAAAAGTGTTCCAACTTACCGGTGAACGGGAATGCGGCAGTGATTATGAACAACCAGGTGTATCCTATTGAGGTGAGATAGAACTGCGAGATCACCGACAGCAGAATGCCACTGCATGTCTGTAATATGCCTTTATGAATGCGATGTATCTAAATATTTATTAAAAGGAACCAAATAAAACATAACCAAGTAGCCGAATAAATGATACGTAAGTCTAGCCAATTAAGCTAATATGGCATCTATGAGGTTTCTGGTGTGTTTTACTTCGATTTTACAAGAGCTGGAACGAATCTCCTCCCACATGCTCGGAAGGTTGATTTGTGTTTACCGTAAAGGTAGGTAGTTAAAATTGGAGGAGTCCTGATCAACAATTCCTGCTGAAGACGGTAAGACGATCTTCGAAACTTACCAGGAAGGTCTTTCAGGGCGTGCCAAGCTTTTTGAAAACGGTCTTTTGCATGATATAGGGGCACATGCGGGAACCACAGAACCATGGTTAATTTTTCCTGAACGGCCCTCTGAATACCAAAAAAGGGGTCCCTGGTTCGGTTCGGTTCCTCGTGGTGACAAACTTTTGCATTTCGTGTTGACGTGGTTACTGACGGTCCTAATTATGAATATGGCATTCATTGTTCATGCTAACTCCATTTTGCGCGAATTTTGAAACGTCAACTCGAAATGCAAAAATTTGTCACCACGAGGAATCGAACTAGGGACCCCTTTTCTGGTATTCAGAGGGCCGTTCAGGAAAAATTAACCATGGTTCTGTGGTTCCCGCATGTGCCCCTATATCATGCAAAAGACCGTTTTCAAAAAGCTTGGCACGCCCTGAAAGACACCTTCCTGGTTAAACAAGCCCAGAATGGAGGTAAATGTAGCCACAGTAACTCAAACTTTGCGGGTTATTGATTAAGCTCTGCTTTTCTTCCTCACAGGTACACCATTCAGCGCTCCTTCCACTCCAAACCCACCACTAATCATCGTGACTGCTGCCCATAGGATATCCCTACCCTAGTGTATCCGTAAGCCCATTCAATCAACTCTAGGCACCCCTGCGCCCAAAGAACACATGGCGCACACCAGGCAGGTTGTTGTTTATAGTATGCCACCATTCCAAGCAAAATAAACAACAAATAACAAGTGAACAGACTGTACCGTGGAGAAAGTCAGGAATCCGTAGTTGGTGGCTTTCCATCTGGCACCAAAGCATTTCACAGCTGCTGTGATGAACAAAGCATGAGTCGCTCCCATGCAGATGAACACACCAACGAGCTGTAACGATCACTTGAATATCATTTATTTCGTGTCCTTGAATAATTATTAAAAATAAATGTTATAACAATAATAAATACCAAAATAAATGACGTATGAGAAATGTACAAATACCTTTACAAAAACAAAACATGTTACCTACTGTCCATAAAAACCCACAAGGCAGAAGATTTTGTAAAACTCACCCAAACGAGGAAAAGATATCGTCCCAGATCTTTCGTAATGGGCATTGTAAGAAGCAATGCAGCTGCCATACATGTCGCTACCGATACGGTTACCTGGAAACATTCCGGCATCAGCAGGCGTGATCAGGTGGCCGAGTGGTTAAGGCGATGGACTGCTAATCCATTGGGGTTTCCCCGCGTGAGTTCGAATCTCATCCTGATCGAATGTTTTGCTTTTCTAGCAATTGCTTCCACACAGGTGTGATTTCGTCTGGGGAAGCTTTTTACCCAAGTTTTAGAAGTTTTCGCGATGTGAGCCACGCATTTTCGTTCCGCCTAAGAAAGTGTCGGAAACGTAGTTTTGAGATGTTTTAGGAGCAAGTTTGAGATTGAAGTTCAGGTTTTTTCATACGGACGATATGAGTAGTATGTTACATAGATAATTAATAACATAAAATACCTTGTCGAAAAACCGAAAAATCACCTCTTGAAGTCCCTGACACCCCATGGGTGTCAGGCCCACCCATGGGTGTCAGGCGGTCCGGAAAGGGTTAACTTTGAGCTATTCGCCCTTTCATAGGTCCAGAGGGTGACGATAATGCGCAAGGATAGTTGTCTACGCAAAATCAAACTCAGTCCTCTAAAAAAGCGGTAATATGCTGCCTCGTCTGCCCCTCCCCCCCTAAATAAACTCTGTCGCCTGAATAAAGCCCCGGACTCATCAGCTAGCAATGTTCGGAGCCGAAACTGCAGCTCTACTCTACCCATCTGCGCTCTAGCCTTTTGCGACAGAGAAAGCATGGCAAGTTCAGGCACCCACGCAACCAAGGTCAGCGTTTACTCACCTGGAAACTCGTCCGGTCCACGAGATAACCCCACGCTACGCGAGCAATGGCATTCGCTGTGGATCCGATAGCGAACGCTCCTGCAAGAAAGAAGATCGTCTTTCATACAACGTTTCAGCAATGTCTAATATTTATCAAAATCGAGTAATGCGCACAGTCTCTTCAATGAGTGTTCACGACCTTATAGAAGATTTATAGAACATATTGGCATAGAATGAAGAGCAGAATAAAGCTATGAATAGAAAGTAGAAGGTGGATGAAGTCAACATTTGTTTTGGACGCATCGACCATTCACTGAAAAAGTATGTTATGGGGAATTTTTCCTATGAAGATAGATTCTGGTGAGCAACTCACTCTGACTGCTCATTGATGAAGACATCAGACGCCTCGGAATCGGAGTTGAGCGATTCACGTGAAACAGAGCGATGTCGGGTTGCGGTGCCACCTTGAGGACACCTAAAGGTGACCAAGTATCCAAACTGTTACGTTGGTAGGCGACTCACAACGACAAACGCAATCAGCGAATAGTTTAGAGCTTCGTCAATTGATGCTGTCGTGTTCGGTGTTCTGGACCATCAGACGCACCTTCAACAGCTTTGTGGATGCCCTCATACCCTTAAGCCTTGCGCAGATTGAGCAACTCTGGACAAAAGACAGCCCCCAACATTCGGGACCGACTTTGAGACGTTTCGACTTTATGACGATGATGCGAAGAGGGTGAAGATCGGAGCGACGCAGACAACAGGTCGTACTTTGCGGATGGGCGGGGCCCGCCGACGATAAAAGGTGACTGTGTCTATGATACGATTCTACTGAGTTTACCATGCCGACGAATTTCGCATCTTCAATGGTTTTATAAGGGAAAAAAGTAAGGCTGCTGTTGATGCAATTGTTTAAGAAGTCGGCGCCAGTAATTGACACCGCTTTGGAGTGTCCATTGTTTTTTGGATGGCATTACCGCGGACCGATCCACGATTTGAAAACGTAAGATCTTTGGTGGTCTGGCGGGAAGCGATATGTGTAGACTTTTTTCTTTGGCTCAGTGGGGGGTATAAATGACGTAAGCAAACCAGCCCTTTTGGCGTTCGGCTGGGACCGTATGCTGAATGTTGGGGAGGGGATGGGGTCCCCAACGGTCGACGGTTTACTTCAACTCGGTTGGTACGATAGGAGAGTACTGACGCAAGTGGTGCAGCTGGTCCAGCAGCTCCGCCAGAAGGCTGGTTTGCTCACCCCAGGACTAAGCCTTGGAGAGGGGACGGACCCGTCCTCTCTTTAAGGCTTAGTTCTGAGGTAAGCACCAAATTGTGGCGGTTCTAAGGACCGAGTTGAAGTGGTCCGTCCACCGTCGGGGACTCCATCCCCTCCCCAACATTCAGCATACGGTCCCAGCCGAAGCGCCAAAAGGGCTGGTTTGCTTACGTCGCCACCTGCAATAGTCTCAATTACACTCCTAATTCCGGCTTAAGCAAGTTCCAATCAGCTCTGTCTCGCGTCCTATTCCTAATTCGCTGCTATTTCCCATAATTCGCGTGTTGCTTCTTGGACTGATTATTGTGTTCACATCATGAAGCAAATTATACTGAAGCCACTGTAATTGGAAGGAAGTTATCACACATCTCTCCTGACTCCATGAATATCGATATATATCTTATATAAAAACACTTTTATGGTGCATCGGCCGTCCATGTTTTGGAAGCATGAAATCCACTGAAAGATCCTGAAACAGAAAAGAACAGTGAAATGTCCTGTTCGAAAAGAGGTTGGAATAGGGCTGTAGGTTTCTACAATTTTATTTCGATCTTTTCCCAACTGAACTATCCGCAGTGTCCAACGCTCCATTGTCGTCAAGGATAGGCTCAAGGAAAATTGCATTTCATTCGCGAAAAGTGAACACTGTGTTTGGGCGGCGCAAGGAGGTTGAGGTTAATTACGAATCAGTTGAAAAACCATTTCAAGATAACCCTTTGACAGCATCATATAAGGAGAAATCAATGATCAACAAGAGCACGGACAGAAGGTGTCAGCAACAGATCCAAGCATCAGCTATTCTTAAAAACCAATAAGTAGCAGGCAAGCAGAGTGAACAGTGAAGTTAAAGATAGGATAAAGATAAAAGATAAGGCCGATGTCAGACTTTGCGAATGCGCGCGATTCGCTGCTAGCGATTCGCGCTTTCGCTACTAGCGATTCGCGCGATTCGCTAGCGTCCGCGGTCGCGTTGCGGTACCAGCCAATTGAGTGATTCACTGGCCGCGACGCGACCGGCGAGCGAATCGCGCGATTCGCGAAAGTCTGACATCGTAAAGTTTCCAACACAACACTTAGTCCACGACCACGTCACAACGCTTCACGTTCTGCTGGTCTTAGCAATCGCAGTTCCTGCCACCCAATGATAACAATAAAAAGGGAATGTGACACGGACCAGGATCGAAGGTAACATTTGGGAATTCCAGCAAGACTAGGGAATTCAGGGAAAAGTGAAGTTCTTGGATTTGGATAATTCTTTAAATGTGCGCCAACTTTTCATCTTTTCAAGTTGGGAGCATTGAACAATTCAAAAACATATAGCCTAGGCAAATGCTAAGGAACATTCAAAGTCTGACCCTTTGCGCAGATTACAATTCTGCGACAGTAACACCCGAAAAATGCATCGAATGTATGAGGTCAGCTCCCAATGTAAAATTGGCTAGATTGGCTGGTTAAACTTTTGGCATAGAGAGATTTAAATATGGTCCCCTTCCTTGACGGATTTTCAGACGAAAAACTGGATTTCCTCGAAAATTTAACGGGATTTTTCCTGGCTGGATGTGTGCTTGGCTTATGCAACCATCAATGCTTTGAACGAAGCAACATTTCAAGAGTTTCCGCACTTACTTCTGATTCGTTTGATATGTCTGTTGCATAGTATGCCGCTAGTAGTAACGATGAGATAAGAAGGAATGCCCCCCGCCCAAATATACGTTTTGAGCGGTTTTCTCAAAAACACCGCAAAATCGCATGGCTGGGAATGCGTTAATAAATTCTACGTATGGCCGATGTCAGACTTTGCGAATCGCGCGATTCGCTACTAGCGATTCGCGCGATTCGCTAGCGTCCGCGGTCGCGTTGCGGTACCAGCCAATTGAGTGATTCACTGGCCGCGACGCGACCGCAGACGCTAGCGAATCGCGCGATTCGCAAAGTCTGACATCGGCCTATGTTTTCTTCCTATCAGCCCCACTCCTAAATCTATTCATCAGTTAGTTTGCAACCAACGAAAATCATCAAGAAGCTATAAATATTCACGTCAGATTTCTTATCGATGTTAATTTTAATATCGCTTGACGGCTGTTGCATAGCAATTGGCTCCATGGTCTAAAAATGGATGTGTTTTCCATAGGAAGATCGCAAGATGTTCAACTTCGGATGAAGGAAGAAAACGTGGCAATGGAACTCTATCGAGTCTCTGCTATAGTGGAATCTCAGGAACGGGTGACAATCTGCCGCCAGCATGTTACCAGCTTTAGATTAGCCTATTCATCACTCAATCACTGACTCAGGATTTTGTGATGCTACCGCGGGGCTGTACTCGAGGAGGCTTCTGGTCACGGTCCAGGAATTGTAGTTCCTACCAAATTATGATAAGGCCTGCTCTTCCTGGTAACTCAGTCCCAGATGGACACTAAATGACGAGGGCTAGACGAGAAACGAGAAGACTTTTGAATGTTTGTTACTTCGAATGTTAGTTCTTATTCCAGTCAATTGCCGAGGTCTGTGATGTTTTTGAAATGGTGACAGAAGCCGCGTGAGTAAGCTGAGTGAGAGCCAACTTAAAATAAAGCATGCTGTAGTTGTCAGTTCTATTCTCAGAGCCCTGCGCCTCTTCTCCCAATAGACAACCTATTTGGCCAGTAGTGCCTTTCTGAAGCAGTCTGAATTCTTAGTTACTTCCTACTATCGAACAGAGTTTGGCGCTATCGCAAGATATGTGGTGGCAGTGCATTTTAATTACGTGAGAGATCCCCTTTTTGTTGAAATCAGGGTCAAGCCTTGGTTGGAGAGCAGTACACTCCAGAATGCGTTAGGAATTTTCATTTTTCGCCGAATTTCCTCCGCCCTAACTGGACTTATTCCTAGAAAACGCCCATTTATCTTGTCGATATGGGCCGACTAGTTTTCAAATGCCAGCATTCGATCTTTCATTGATAAACTGATACTTAAAGCATTTCTGAACGAATTTGCTGCTAAGCTAACCAAGCCTTAATCGCCATAATAGTTTCTTAATAAGCCCCCATCTTTAAATAAAAAAAACCTCGGTTTTGTTCGCGATCAACCGAATGTGATTTTCAAGGCCGTGGGTGAAAAGCGAGAGGGCCTGCTTGATAGAACTGACAACTACTGAGTGCGAACGCGACCACGAATTCTACCGTAATTTCGTCGCGCGGCAACTGTTTGTACGAGACGGTGGCGAATCGCTGACGACGTCGAGACGGGTCGCGACCGTAGCGAATCTCGTCGATGAAGTCTGAGATTGACCCAAGTCCCGAGCTACGAATCTGCAGTAGCAGAAACACAATCGAAGCCGTGAACAATTGGATAACAAAGGATTCCGTCGTCAATTCGAGAGAATGACACAATGTTAAGGATTTCTCTCAATAAATACGGTCGCGGAAAAAAGTGTACCTTCTCCGGAGGATCACATATGACAATGAGTCCAATGAATTGCATAATCGCATAGACCCAAGCAAGAGTCAGAAAAACATCTGGTACTCGAAGCAGGAGGTCCTTGTCCAAAAAGTACCTGCAAATACATCGTTTACTCTTCTGACTCTTTTTCATCCGTCAGATAACTAACCCATCTCGTGTTGACGGCAAATTATCCGGATTGATGAGCCGTGTCTGGATTGGGGCAAAAATCGACGACGAGACTCCGAAGCCGGCGGCAACAATGCCGCTCATGAGCCCTACTTTTTCCGGAGCCCACTTGAAAAGAAACATTATTTCGAGGCATCTAAGGTCGAGCTCCGAACGCACTATTCTAAGTTCCCATTGAGTTATGGTAGGCAACGCTGTGACATAGGCGATTCCTTGACCAAGTCCGAAGAGAAGACCATAGGTCACGAAGAAGGCAAAGAACGAGTGTTTGATGGACCAATACGAAAGCGCAACTGCGGATCTGAAACAAAACATCTTCATAAGCAGATTTTATAAGGAGGATAGGTTCACTTTTAGTGAAAAGCATTCCATGGCAACTTCCTTGTTCGTGCTTTATTCAAAGACCAGTACACCATGTTTCGGTGCTAATTTTTCCGATTTCGTCCACCTTGAAGGACAATATATAGGATCTTACTATCAGGATCAACCTCGTTGCACAATCCTCAACGACAGGGAAAGGGGTCGTATTCGAAATTATAAAATGAAAATATTGAGAAACGAGGAGCCGTTCTCTAGAATCTGAAGGGTTTGCACATGCATAGGTGGCGAGGGAAGGTCCGTGTCGAGGGACATCAAGGCTGATGGCGATTGTGGGGGTAGTAGCGAACCCCTCTAAAGAGAAGAACGGTCATCAGAATTGGAACGAGAAAGACCTTGCTCCCTGATGGAAACATTCAATCGTTGTAGAAATATGCTAGAGCGAAAAAAGGACAACTGAAAAAGCTCGGGTAATTTTCCCTGTTAAATTCCAAAAAGAGACACAAAGGACAAGCGCTCGGTCTCAACCGTCCCCTTCTCTGGAAAGCGCCACGCATTTGGGACTCCATTCAGAATTGTGGTGGCGAGTTGGCCTATTTTATTACTTCCGAAAACCAGCTACTCACAAATAGCTTTTTCGCTCTTCCAGACTAGTTTGGTAGCAAATTATAGGCACCGGAGTGTTTGGATGTCTTGGGCGATATTCAACACAAAATTTGTACTCTGCTCCGCTATGGCGTAGGTATGGGGTTATTGCGCTCGAAATAAGTGCCAAGTTCTAGCATTGACGACACCAGTGATGAAGCAAAGCAAAAAAACCTGCTAAGGAATAAATCAGCGCACTAAGTTAGGCGTTCCTCCAATGTGGCTAAATACGATCGAAAACGGTAGAGGTGGAGCCAACCAATGAGAGTTGCGCACAAGCGGAGCGCAAGCTCCGCCCATGCACTAGTAGCAAATTGATCTCAAGGGTTCCAAGTAGTTTTTTTTTCGATTTTTTTATAACTTGTGGACTAGTCACCAACGTCTCAATCAAGGAATCAAAAAGGGAAGACTCAGAAGCCCGAAGACTGTCCAGAATTTCCAAATCCATCCAGGTGGTGTCAATAAAGGAAAGTAGGAAGTGAGTACATACACAGAAGAAGTAACTTACGTAGCGATGGTACATCCAACGAGTGTAGCCATACGTGGACCAAGATGAAACGCTAACGTCCCACCGATTACCATAGAAAAGGGAAAGCAGCCTAAATAAGCTATGGTTCGGACAAAGAAGACTTAACAGGTCCTAAAACTTACCTTGAAATGTGGGAACCCACATGAAATGCTCAATTCTGATATTGGGATCAGTGTAATTCCGCATATATGAGGCCATATATGGAAGCATATTACCTGAAAAATGACCCTGTAACTGTGTATAATACAGTAAAATTACAAAAATAAAGAAATTAATAAAAACAAATAACTAATTAATATCACCTACCAAAAGTGTGATAAGTACCAATGGAAAGATGAATGAGCACAGCACCCGTGAGGACCACAATCACACGCGACAGAGGTGGTAACTTGAAGATCGTGCGCGAGATCACATCAACCATGGTTAAAGCCTAAATTGCTTTTGGAAGTATAACTCTAACTATAACTCAGAAAAACGATTATGAGTAGGGTATACGTCGCCAGGGCGGAAGTGTGTAGTGGCAAGTGGCACGCTTACCACGCGAGCGATCCGAGGATCAAATCCTGGGTCGTGAGTCGCCCGGGCCAACCAAGCCTTCCATCCCTTCGGGGTCGGTTAATTGGTACCAGACTTGTCTGGGAGGATAAAAAAAAACACTGACTTTGTACATCGGCTGGCCCCCGCAAGTCATTGTATAGGCCACATCGCATTCAAATGCCACTACGAATGTACAAATGGAAGTAGAATGCGTGCCGCATCCCAAAAAGGGATTGATCAACGGCAAATGCTTTATCCTTTTTTTTAAACTGTCGCCATTATGTTTTACAGGGCTTGTGCACCTAGTGTCGTATATTGGGTTGGTACATAAATCGTAGTGTTTTTTCCAAGCGTACAGAATCATAGAATGCATGTATTCTCAGCAACCACATATAAACGATGAAGCATAAGCATTTACCGTGGATCAATCCCTTTTTGGGATGCGGCACGCATTCTACTTCCATTTGTGCATTCGTAGTGGCATTTGAATGCGATGTGGCCTATACAATGACTTTCGGGGGCCAGCCGATCTTAAATTCAGTGTTTTTATCCTCCCAGACAAGTCTGGTACCAATTAACCGACCCCGAAGGGATGGAAGGCTTGGTTGGCCCGGGCGACTCACGACCCAGGATTTGATCC